CTGCCTAAGCCTCCCAAGTAGCTGGCATTACAAGCACCTGCCACCGCACCCAGTTAATTTTTGTATTTTTAGTAGAGACGAGGTTTCATACTTGGCCAGGTTGGTCTAGAACTCCTGATCTCAGGTGACCCACCCACCTCGACCTCCCAAAGTTCTGGGATTACAGGTGTGAGTCACCGCTACCAGCCTATAGCACTTTTTTTTTTTTTTTGAGATGGAGTTTCATGCTTGTTGCCCAGGCTGGAGTGCAATGGAGCGATCTTGGCTCACTGCAACCTCTGCCTCCCACGTTCAAGCGATTCTCCTGCCTCAGCCTCCTGGGTAGCTGGGATTACAGGTGCCCACCACCACACCCGGCTAATTTTTTTTGTATTTTTAGTAGAGACGGGGTTTCACCATGTTGGCCAAGCTGGTCTCGAACTCCTGGCTTCAGGTGATTTGCCCGTCTCAACCTCCTAAAGCGTTGGGATTACAGGTGTGACTTCACCATGCCCAGCCAGCACTTTTTTTTTTTTTTTTGAGAAAGTCTCACTCTGTTGCCCAGGCTGGAGTGCAGTGGTGCGATCTCGGCTCACCGAAGCCTCTGCCACCTGGGTTCAAGTTCAAGTTCAAGCGATTCTACTGCCTCAGCCACCAGAGTAGCTGGGGTTACAGATGCTCGCCACCACACCTGGCTAATTTTTGTATTTTTAGTAGAGATGGGGTTTCACCACGTTGGCCAGGCAGCTCTCGAACTCCTGACCTCAAGTGATCCACCCGCTTCAGCCTCCCAGTGTGCTGGGATTACGGGCATGAACCACCATGCCCAGCCTCATATAATTTTTATTACAGTATGTTGTTGTAATTGTTCTATTTTATTATTAGTTATTATTGTTAATCTCTTACTATGCCTAAGTAAAAAACTCCATCACAGGTCCATATGCATAGGGAAAAGCATAGTATATATAGGGTTCAGTACTGTCTGCAATTTTAGGCATCCACTGGGGGTCTCAGAATGTATTCCCTGTGGATAATGGGGGCTACTGTATTACAAACTGCTCTTTTAATTTTTTTTTCATTTTATTGAGGTATAAATGATAAAATCTGTATATACTTAAGTACAATATAATGATTTATGTATATATTATCTAAGGATTACTACAATGAAATTCATTAACACATCCTTCATCACAGTTACTATTTGTGTGTATGTGACGAGGACACAAACTGCTTTTAGTATTTTATTCACAACAAGCCTATTAAGGAGGTAGTTTTTTTTATCATGCTCTCCATTTTATATATTAAAAACTGAGGTCAGGTGGTTGTCTTGTGAACAGTCATAACACCAAGTAAATAAAAGAATGAGGCTGGATATGGTGGCTCACACTTGTAATTCCAGCACTTTGACAGGCCAATGTGTTGGCAGCTGCGACTACAGAGGGCTTGCTGCTATCATCACACTGGCTGCAGCAGAGGCGTGGATAGGGCTGCATGATCCGTGGAGCTAGCAGGAGCCCTTCCCCTTCTGAGTTGGGGCAGGAGCTCCCCTGGTGCTGCTGGAGCTACACAAACTGCAGCTGTTAACCTGGGCCTCCTGTTCCACAGAGCAGGCAGAAGCCTTGCCCTGCTGGGTGGGGTTGCAGCCACCCAAGTTGTGGTTGCAGATCCGAGCCTCCCTGTGCTCTTGTGGGGGCTGGGAGCAGGCAGGATCCCTGCCCTCCTGGGCGCAGCTGCAGCCGCCCTCCCAGGTGCAGGACCTAATAGTCTCTGCAACCTGCCCCCCACCCCCACCCCCGCTTCTCTCTGCTCCTGGCACCCACTCCAGTCTCGGAGTGGCGTTGGGGCAAACCCAGGTGCTGTTACAGTCCGGGGGTGAATGTGTGTGCGCACCCTCAGGGCAACACCCTGCCACCTTGGCCCCCTCCAGAATTTGGGCACACAGAAGCGAAAGAGGGGAAGCCAATGTGGACTGAGGGTGGTCAGTGCTGGCCTTTAGGTGCACCTTGGTGTGAGCAGCCTGGTGCCATGGACTGCTGAGAGAGACAGACAGGCTCCTGGGTGGAAGGGAGGTTCCCATAAATCCCCACCTTCAGGACAGGGAGGGCTTAAAGGCTGGGGGCGGGGCTGCCAGTCCCACCCACCAGATGGTGATTTGTGCTGCCTTTTCCTGCAGTCCATGAACCAATCAGGAAGCACTTTCTCCCCTCTGAGGTCCATAAAAGCCCCAGGCTCAGCCACAACAGGATAGAGGATGGAGAAAAGATCAGACAGCCAGAAAGGAGAGAGAAGCTATGCTCTCTGCTGAGAGCTGGGAAGTCAACAGGTAGGACCTGCCTGAAGAGAGGAGCCACCCACTCCAGGGCCTCCTCTCTGCTGAGAGCTGAATACCGGATAAGACAAACTGCCTACAGAGAAGAGCTAGCCCCTGTGAGTCTCCTCTGAGCTGTTCTAACACTCAATAGAGCTTCTCTTCGTCTTGCTTACCCTCCACTTGTCTGCGTACCTCGATGCAGGACAAGAACTCGGGCAAAGGCACCACTGGCCACAGAGGTTTCTAGCCAGAAAAGCAACACCCTAAAGATCCCACAACAAAGGCAAGAGGATTGCTGGAGCCCAGGAGTTCCAAACCAGCTTGGGCAACACACCAAGACCCCATCTCTACAAACAATTTTAAAAATTAGCTGGGCATGGTGGTATGCACCTATAGTCCCAGCTACTCAGGAGGCTGAGGTGGGAGGATTGCTTGAGCCCAGGAATTCAACACTGCACTCCAGTCTGGGTGATAGAGCAGAGCAAGACTCTATCTAATTAATTAAATAATTTAAAAAATAAAAGCATGAGGACTAGAATGCAACTGTTCTAACTCCACTATACCATATTGGCCTTGTGAAATGAATAAATTTTAAAGACAAACTCATAGCTCTACCTGTTTCAAAGCAACAAAGTTGATTTAGAAATGCTAAATACAGGCCTGGCATGGTGGCTCACGCCTGTAATCCCAGCACTTTAGGAGGCCAAGGTGTGTGAATCATTTGAGCCCAGGAGTTTGAGACTAGCCTGGGCAATACTGTGAAACCACGTCTCTACAAAAAATACAAAAAATTAGCCAGGTATGGTGGCATGTGCCTATAGTCCCAGCTACTCAGAGGCTGAGGTGGGAGGACTGCCTGAGCCTGGGGAGACTGAGGCTGCAGTGAGCTTTAATTGTGCCACTGTACCCCAGCCTGGGCTACAGAGCAAGACCCTATCTCAAGAAAAAAAAAAAGCTAAATGCCTCACAAACTATCTTTGGCATATCAGCATATAGGCTATAACCCACATGCTTCAGGTATATCTATCGGTGATATGGGAAAGATAAAAGGAAACAAAAGACTGTATTATAAAATACCTAAAAAGTCATGTTAGGTATATTCTATATATTACTACTATCCTGGAGACATTACTTATACTAGGTTACTTTGATGGTGATCCACTCAAACTATTGACTGGAGCCTGTTCACCAGCAGTAAGAAGATTCCTGTAGTAACCTGATAACCTATCAGTCAGGTAGCCCTCAGTCTAAAGATAGGTTAGGCCAGGCACGGTGGCTCATGCCTGTAATCCCAGCTCTTTGGGAAGCCAAGGCGGGCAGATCACTTGCGGTCAGGAGTTTGAGACCTGTCTGGCCAACATGTCAAAACCCTGTCTCTAGTAAAATTACAAAACATTAGCCAGGCATGGTGGCGTGCTTTGGGAGGCTGAGGCAAGAGAATTGCTTAAACCCTGGGAGACAGAGGTTGCAGTGAGCCAAGATAACACCACTGCACTCCAGCCTAGGTGACACAGCAAGACTCCATTTAAAAAAATAAATAAATAAAGATAGGTTATCACATCTTGTTGATCTCTGTAGCTCCAGCATTTAGTAGAGTGACTCATACGTATTAGGCATAAAATATTGTTTATTCAAGAATGAATTGTTGGCTGGGCATGGTGGCTCACGCTTATAATCCTAGCACTTTGGAAGGCTGAGGCGGGTGGATCACCTGAGACCAGGAGTTCAAGACCAGCCTGGCCAACATGGTGAAACCCTGTCTCTACTAAAAATACTAAAAATTACCCGGGTGTGGCGCTGCGCTACTCTAGTGGTTGAGGCGGGAGAATCGCCTGAACCTGGGAAGAGGAGGTTGCTGTGAGCTAAGATGGCACCACTGCACTCCAGCCTAGGCAACAGAGCGAGAATCTGTCTCAAAAAAAAAAAAAAAAGAATGAATTGTTAATTAAACTAAATTTGGCCTGAGGATGCCTCTGTTGTTGTTTTTTTTTTTTTTTTTTTTTTTTTTGAGACGGAGTCTCGCGCTGTGTTACCCAGACTGGAGTGCAGTGGCGCGATCTCGGCTCACTGCAAGCTCCGCCTCCCAGGTTCACGCCATTCTCCTGCCTCAGCCTCCGAGTAGCTGGGACTACAGGCGCCCGCCTAGTTTTTTGTATTTTTAGTAGAGACGGGGTTTCACCATGTTAGCCAGGATGGTCTCGATCTCCTGACCTCGTGATCCACCCGCCTCGGCCTCCCAAAGTGCTGGGATTACAGGCTTGAGCCACCGCGCCCGGCCTGTACTTGAGTCTTTACATACCAAGTTGCAACCTAACTTAGTACTTCAACTGAAAGCCTAATTTAGAAGTATACTTTTGTATCAAAAAGCTGAGTCTCAGGAAAGCAGAGCAGCTGAGCTTCAGTCAACCACAAGCAATCAACTGTTTAAACCATGTTCAAATGAGGTAAACTCAAGGCTGTAACCAACTGGGCTGTCTCTGTACCTCACTTCTGTTTTCTATACTTCATTTCTACTTTCTGTCCATAATACTGCCTGACCACATGGCAAACTGGAGTTTTACTGAATATGTTCTGGCTATGAGGGTTGCTGGATTCACTAGTTATTTTTTTGCTCAAATAAACTCTCCTAAGTTTAATTTGTCTCAAGTTTTTCTTTTAACAGAATGAAGGAATATGAAGAATGCAAAGATACTATCACAGAATACTTTACCTTTGCTTCTTGATCTTCCAGGGAAAACTCCATTAATTCATTTGAAATCTCTTCTGCCTGGTCTTCTCCTAGGTTTGGATTTGTATCCAACTTTGGAGCAGTAATAGGACTGCCCAGATATTTCATTTCACTGTCCACCAAGTTTCCGTTGTCCTATCAAGTATATTGACAACATTAAAAACTATTCAAAATATATCAAAGTCCTAAATGTAAGAGCTAAAACTATAAAACTCTTAGAAGAAAACATAAGGGAAAAAATTCATGACATTGGATTTGGATAATGCCACTGAAAGCACAGGTAATGAAAGAAAAAAATAGATAAATTAGTCTTCATCAAAATGAAAAACTTTTGTGCATCAAAGAACGCCATTAAGGGAATGAAAAGGCAACCCACAAAATGGGAGAAAATATTTGCAAGTCTTATATTTGATGAGGGATTAATATCAGAATATATAAGGAACTCCTACAACTCAATAACAAACACAATAACAATCAAAAGGGACATGAATAGACATTTCTCCAAAGAAGATATACAAATGGCCCATAAGTACATCAAAAGATGCTCAACATAAGTAATCATTATGGAAATGCATATCAAAATTGCAATGAGATACTACTTTATACCCACTAGGATGGCCATTATAAGAAATAACAAGTGTTTGTGCGTTGCTGGTGGGAATGTAAAAGGGTGCAGAGGCACTCTATGGATACTAGCATGCTAGTTCCTCAAAAAATTAAACGTAGAATCATCATATAATCAAGCAATTCTACTTATGAATATATACCCGAAAGAATTAAAAACAGGGGCCAGGCGCAGCAGCTCACACTTGTAATCCCAGTACTTTGGGATTACAAGCCGAGGCGGGCGGATTATGAGGTCAGGAGTTCAAGAGCAGCCTGGCCAACATGTTGAAACCCCATCTCTACTAAAAATACAAAAATTAGCCGGGTATGGTAGCACGTGCTTGTAATCCCAGCTACTTGGGAGGCTGAGGCAGGAGAATTGCTTGAACTGGGGAGATGGAAGTTGCAGTGAGCTGAGATTGCGCCACTGCACTCCAGCCTGGGCGACAGGGCAAAGATTCCGTCTTGGAAAAAAATAAATAAAATAAAATAAAAGCAAGGACTCAAGCAGATATTTGTATACCTATGTTCATAGCAGCATTATTCACAATGGCCAAAAGGTTGCAAACAACTCAAAATGTCCATCAACAGATGAATGGATAAGCAAAATATGATATACATACAAAAGAAATGAAATTCTAATACATGCTATGACATAGATGAACTTTGAAGACATTATGCTAAATGGAAATATAGGCTGGACGCAGTGGCTCACACCTATAACTCCAGCACTATGGGAGGCTGAAGCAGATGGATCTCCTGAACCCAGGAATTTGAGACCAGCCTGGGCAACATGGCAAAACCCTGTCTCTACAAAATATACAAAAAAATTAGGTCGAGGTGGGCAGATCACATGAAGCCAGGAGTTTAAGACCAGCCTGGCCAACATGGTGAAACTCCGTCTCTACCAAAAATACAAAAAAATTCACCAGGCATGGTAGCACATGCCTGTAATCCCAGCTACAAGGGAGGGTAAAGCACGAGAATCGCTTGAACCTGGGAGACAAAGGTTGCAGTGAGCCAAGATTGCACCACTGCACTCCAGCCTGGGTGACAGAGTGAAACTCTATCTCAAAAAAAAAAAAAAAAAATTAGCCAGGCGTAGTGGCACACATTTGCAGTCCCAGCTACTTGGTAGACTGAGGTGGGAGAATCATCAGAGCCCGGGAGTTTGAGGCTACAGTGAGCTGTGATTGTGCCACTGCACTCCAGCAGAGGTGACAGAGTGAGACCTCACACACACACACAAAAGGACAAAATATTATATTATTCTACTCATATGAGGTATCTAGAATAGTCAAATTCACTGAGACAGAAAATAGAGGTTATCAATGGCTGGGCAGAAACAGGGATGGAGAGTTATCACTTAAGGGTATACAGCTTCTGTTTTGAATAATGAAAAAATTCTGGAAATGAGTTCTGGTGATAGTCTCACATTATTAATATACTTACTGTCACTAGACTGCACAGTCAAAAATAGTTAAAATTGTAAATATTATGCACATTTTACTGCAATTAAAAAAAAAACACACACAAGACTATCCAATAATTGAATATACTCCAGGTCTTCCCTCCATCCTAGAAACCAAAAACCTAAATAAAACACGATCAACTTAGTGCCCGGGCATGGATCACGAGGTCAGGAGATCAAGACCATCCTGGCCAACATGGTGAAACCCCATCTCTACTAAAATATGAAAAATTAGCCTTGTGTGGTGGTGCACGTCTGTAGTCCCAGCTACTTGGGAACTGAAGGGCAGCGGAATTGCTTGAACCAGAAGGCGGAGGTTGCAGTGAGCTGAGATCGCACCACTGACTCCAGCCTGGTGAATGAGCAAGACTGTGTCTCAAAAAAAAAAAAAAAAAAAAAAGATCAGCTTTCTCTTCGTAGGAAAGAATATGTTAAAATAGCTTTCCCTCAGGGTTGAGATTAGAAATAAGAATCCAAATCTCTGGAGTCCATGGTCTACGAAAGGCAAGTGAATGCCTGGGTAAGTTAAGACCCATATATTAAGTGCACAAAAGACACAAGAGAAAATACGCGTGGATAATAATCCCTGAAATCACTACCTAATTATTATTATTATTGTTTTATTTTTTTTTTGAGATGGAGTCTCGCTCTTGTCCCCCAGGCTGGAGTGCAGTGGCGCGATCTCAGCTGACTGCAAGCTCTGCCTCCGGGTTCACACCATTCTCCTGCTTTAGCCTCCCGAGTAGCTGGGACTACAGGCACTGGCCACGACGCCCAGGTAATTTTTTGTATTTTTAGTAGAGACGGGGTTTCACCGTTTTAGCCAGGATGGTCTCGATCTCCTGACCTCGTGATCCACCCACCTCAGCCTCCAAAGTGCTGGATTACAGGCGTGAGCCACTGCACCCGCCCCAGCTAATTTTCGTATTTTTTTTTTCGGTAGAGATGGGGTTTCACCATGTTGCCCAGGCTGGTCTGGAACTCCTGACTCAAGTGATCAGCCCTGCCTCAGCCTCCCAAAGTGCTGGGATTACAGGTGTGGGCCACTGCACCCGGCCACTACTAATTTATTTTTATTATTATTTATTTATTTTATTTTTTTTTTTTTTTGAGACAGTCTCTTTGTCACCTGTCCAATCACTGCACTGAAGTGCAGTGGTGTGATCTCAGCTCATTGCAATCTCCCACTCCCAGGTTCAAGCCATTCTTGTTTCTCAGCCAGGCGCCACACATGCCTGGCTAATTTTTGTATTTTTAGTAGAGACAGGGTTTCGTCATGTTGGCCCGGCTGGTCTCAAACTCTGGCCTCAGGTGATCTACCCATCTCAGCCTCCAAAAGTGGTGGGATTACAGGCATGAACCACCATGGTTGACTGCTAATTATTTTTAATATAAAATGATTTTACCATGTATGTATCTATGTGTGTATTATTTATTTGAGACTGAGTCTCCATCTCAGCTGACTGCAGCCTCAGACTCCTGTGCTCAAGCAATCCTCCCAATTATAACTCACTGAAGCCTCAGACTCTTGGGCTGAGGCTATCCTCCTGCCTTGGCCTCCAGAATACCTGAGACTACAGGCATGCACCACTAAGTCCCAGCCTTTTTGGGGGGAGAATGGGGGTGGGGTAGAGATGTGGTCTTGCTGTGTTCCCCAGTTAGGGAACTCAAACTCCTGGACTCAAGCAATCCTCTCGCCTCGGCCTCCCAGAGTGCTGGGATTACAGGGATGAGCCACAACATCTGCCTAATAGCATTTTCCCCCACCCTAGACTCAGCTCAGCAGAAAGTAATTTTTTTTTAAATTCCATGAGAAGGCCCAGGTGTGGGGCTCATGCCTATAATCCCAGCACTTTGGGAGGCCGAGTGTGGTTAGATCACAAGTCAGGAGTTCGAACCAGCCTGGCCAATACGGTGAAACCCGTCTTTACTAAAATACAAAAATTAGCCGGGCGTTGGTGGCGCGCAACCTGTAGTCCCAGCTGCTCAGAGGCTGAGGCAGGAGAACACTTGAACCTGGAGGTGGGGGGTTGCAGTGAGCAGAGATTT